TGTTCTACTAAATGAGATTGTCTTCATATATTTATATCCAAATAGAGCAGGGCCCAAACTGTATGTCACTCTGCTCTATGTTGATTCCCTGGCGCCCCCTAATGATCAAAGTAATACAGTGCATGCAATGTGCAATGTGCTCCAGAAGTCTTGTTTTAATGTTGATAAGAGCAACCCTTCTTCAATTTGTCATACCTTCCAAGGAATTATGAAAAGTTTTACATGCCATTTCTTCACATGTACTGTATATTTGCAGTCCACTTAAAAAAACATGAGCTAATAATAATGTAATTGAATTGAATCTTAGTTTAATTATTTCATGTTTGTAGGTACTGTAGGAAACGGAAAGCAAGTTCATTCTTAATTTTAACAGAAAAAAACGTACTCTGTTGTTTTATTTCTGGATCTAATTCTTATTTACGGGTCAACGGGTATTGTTTTTAATCTGATGTATTGTATGAAAAGTGCTAGCAGATATAAATAAAATGTGGTTGAATTAGTGTCATTGTCAGAGACCTTGTCAGTTGAGAGTCACCCAATACTTCTTCTTTAAAGGCCGTTTTGTCACCTTCATAACAAGGCTGGGAGATGGTCCATATTTTAGTCCTGACACTCACAAGTGCCTGCAGTGCGATACGTTTGTGGGTTGCATCAATATGGAACGAATTGAAAAGTATTAAGTATGAGAATTTCTAGTGATAACCCTGTACAGTAACACCCACTTGAAGTATTTTTAGAAGCCCAGTTAGAATCACTTAATCGTTTAGTGTCATTTGACTGGCTCCATTAGGGCTAATAACAGCTTAATTGCTCTACTCTAATTCTCTTGGATAGGAAGATACCGTAATAAAAAAGTACATACTGTATAATATTTTAAGTTTTTATCAAATTCATTACAAAAAAAATATTAAAGTGTTGTCTATCTATGGGGCAATGTTTTGGGGGATGGGGAAACGTCTTGGTGCAACCCATGGATTCTGTGGAACCAAACATCTGACATTCTGCACACCCACGCAGCCCCTGTCAGAAGCAATGATAAAGAATTGAGCATGAAAATATATGTCTTACACTACAGTTTCAATATTTGTCCTAAAACAATGCACATTTACAGTTTTGGTCTCTACCAAAACCATACAGCCTGACTCCGCATCATGCCGTCTTATATTTCCAATACTAATCTTCATACTTAAATTGTAAGTATTGGTCCCGGTAAAGCTTTGCCAGTGTAGGGACAGAAAGGGGTCCTCAAAAAAATGAAACTTTGTGGCCTATGACATGAAAGATTGGACCAAGCGAACGCCTCAATGGATCAGTGGATCTAAACCGGTGGGTCGGGACCAAAAAATGGGTTGTGGGATACTTTTGAGCGGAGTACATAGTTTAAATACGTATCTAGTACGCAAAAACAGGTAGTCTAGAAATAGGTATGAAGGAAAATGAATGAAATTGTTTTATTTTGTGTTCAATACATAACTAACTTGAATAACTAATTATCAACTAGAAAATAAGTAGTAGCAGTAAGTAGATACAAGATTCCGTTTATTTGCCATTCGCAGTTAAACCACATTGGAATACATGTGAAAATGACACACGTATCGTAAAATGTACTTGGATTTAAGAAAGTAGTATGAAGGATTGTGAGCATAAAACGTTTTTTTTAATATACTTTCATTAAAAAAATAGATAAAACATAATTTTCCTTTAAAGTAAATTACTGTCTCCAAAATGTTAGCATTGAGGTATTATTTATTGTGTATAAAACAATAATTTGTGGAAATACATATTCATCTATGTATATACAGTAGTAAATTCAGTTCTTCTTTGAATTGATTGGTGTGATATATTTAGCTGGTGGGTCGTGACACTGATCCAGTTGAGAACCAATGTCTCTGATCCAGCAGATTCATGATATTGGATCCCAATATAAATATATGTGCACCATACTCAGCCTCATGATCTACCACCAGAAATTCATGAACATCTGAGTCAAATCTGTCCAATAATCCCATCAGTACCAATATGTGTGAATTGTTGTCAAATACTATATTGTTTTCGCACATCGTTCTTGGCTTTACCACACAAGTATTTACGGCATTTGTTTTTGTTTTATTAAGACAGATTAACGTGATTTGAGCCATTCCAGTGGAACACAAGATGAAGAGGATGAGTGGAGTGATGAAGAGCCAGTGGTGTGGGTGGTGGAGGCTGGAAACGCACAGGATTGTGGGAAAAACACTGAGGCACGTTGGGGGCTTTAAGGGTCATACCGATGAAGCACCTCTTCAAATTCAAGTATTGGGAGGCAGATAATCAGGGGAATGCTGAGTTCAGGGACATTGCCGGCATTTGCGATCTCAGGAAACAAAATTATACACCAAACCAAACTGTTATTGTGGTGCATTTATGTGTGTGTGAATCATGGCATATGTTAAACAACTATATGTGCTGCGATCCTATTGTAACCAAGCAACATTTAGATGGTCAATCACTTGAACCTCTCAATCACAGGCTTTTCAATAGCCTGCCTCAATGTTTGTCCGAACTCAGGAAGGGGGCTATTATTGCGGACTGACTCATGGTCACAGCGAAGTGCCAACGGGTTTTATCAGATACACCATAACACAGTAGAAAATGAAGGAATAAGCTTTTCCACTCAACCTTTTCATGATAGATTTCTTGCAGACCAAACATATATAATGACGGTATTTTTTACTGTTCTGGGTTCAAGTGGATGACCAATATCCATATGTACATGCTCAGCTCCAAGTATCAAGAATAAGCGGCAGGAAGTATGAATGAGTTTTTAGTCATGCACCAACAATTCTGGCCTTTAAGGAGGAGAGGCGAGTGTTGAAATTAGGCCCCAAGAGCCCGCAAAATATACTTTGTACAGATGAGACCAAAATTTAATGTTTTGGCCTCAATGGAATAACGTTGTGTGGTAGAAAACTAATATAATCATCAAACCCACCGTCAAACCTGGGAACAAGGGAAAGAGGATGGAGACTGCAAAAGACTTGAGACTCAGGACAGCAACTCTAAATATAAAACTGTTTCATGCTATGGAATGGTTAAACACAAAACATATTAATGTGTTAGAACGAATATGAGTTAGGGCTTACATTTGACCTTTGATGACATTTTTATTTTGCTTCTGATCAAGATGTTTTAGATCAGGTGTCTCCAACTTACTTTACCCAGAGAGCTACTTTCCCGGGACGATAAAGGCAGAGAGCTGTATACTCCTTTAAGCAGCCCTTGGAAAAATGTGGTGATATATTGGTGAGAACAAACCTGATATCGGGTACAATCATTATTTATCATCATATTTTTGTTACTAATGTACAAAGTAAGTGCATTTACAATAATAAATAGTTCTAGTGAATAATACAATCTGAAATATTAAGTATATTATTTTCTTTGGGGAGCTGCCCGGTAAGGGGTGGCGAGCTACTGGTGGCTCCCGAGCTACAGCTTGGAGACCCCTGTTGTAGATATTGCAACCTGTGCTAAATTTACGTTGGAGCTAATAGTAAGCCTTTACCTCAACCCTAACCCTATGATTGGAGTAATAAGGGGTGGGATTAAATAAGAGTTTACTTATTCCCGCTTCTTTTCGAGCATCCATTAGTGTGTATATTTACTCTTTTTGTTATTATTATTGCTCTTTTACTTATGTTTTGTAAATATACCTAAGTTGCTTATGATTAATTTGTACTAATAAATGAAAAAATAATAATAATGGCCCGGTCCACACCTGTCCAATCAAGACACTGCTCTTCACAAACTCTCTCCTTCTCTTTAACAGATCTGGAGCTATTTTGAGTTTCTGGATGCACAACGCTGGTAGAGACATACCCCAAAATACTTGCATCGATAATTGTGGGTCAAAAAAATACCTTTCACATAAAATGGCAAAAAAAATCTTCATATTTGTGGTTGCAAAAAGACCAAGTGTGGCACAAAGCCTTGTCTGTGGCTATTATTGTTTAGCATTGACAAACAATTAAAGCCATTATTGTTTCTAATTATTTTGAGGTGACACATCCAGTTCTATTATTGGTGAATTTTATTTCTCTATATGTAATTGGTGTCATCCAGTTTGTCCTTCAATGCTAATCAATCCCTTTGTATAAAAAAGCAGTATGCTACACACATCATTTGGGAAGCTAGTTTCCTTTGCTACTATTATGTTTCTATTTATTTGAGCATATTATGATGAGCATTTATATCTATAGCACATTCCACACATATAATCATTGCTCTATTAGTAATCGATTAATCTGCTTTGCATTACAATACACATAAGAAATGAGAAAAGCAAATGCTGATTCGGAACACTTCCAAAATCCTACTAATTTGCATAAACATCTTTTGGAAAAATCTGCTGAGAGCTTTTTGAGTTGAGACGTTCAAAACAGACAAAACGAGACCAAAGAATAATAACAAGATCGAAGAATTCTACAATATTGTTTTTGAAATCGGCTTCTCGAACGTGCCTGAACAAAGAAGGGTAAGATTAAAGCTGCACTAATGTTCCTCAGTATGACCTCATATCATACATTGTCAAGAACATTTTCCAAGTCATGTCTGTGAAGAGGCAACCCAATCCAACGTAATAATTCAGCCTAATAAGCAGTAAATCTGTAATACATGTTTTATATTATACTGGGGGACAATGCAATCAAAGAAACAGACATCCCCATGGCAACAAGTGGGCAGCAGAAAAGTAGCGGGATGCACTTTTAACTCCGGCAACAGAGAACGATTGTGAATTGAGATGGCAACAGACAAAAATAACAGTAGCTCCAAACAGTAGAAAATGTTCCGTGGCCAATCTTTCTAAGCAGGACGTGGCATCGCTGTTTATTTTTAAATCATGCCCATTTTTCTTTTCACTTAAACGCGGCCGTATCTCTTTTTACTCCTATTTGATGCGGCTCCATGGAGACTTATCATCTTTACACATTGAATTTAAAAAGGCGCTGGATCCTTTCTACTCACTCCCACTCCTTCCTGCGGGCCTGTGGCGTGCTCTGAATCTTGTGCGATTGGTGAGCCATGATCACATCCTTCTGCTCCACCAGCCCGCCCCTCCTGCGGTGAGCGCTGTGGGGGCTCTGGGATCCCGTGCCCTGGTCTGAGTCGTCCCCTGCTCGTGGCATGTCGAAGCTGGCGGCCCGCAGCGGGAGGCCCAGGTGCCCGGGGACGGTGTTGGGTACCTGCAAAAAAAAAAGGGGGTGTGGCTGTTTCTGTCGTACAATTACAATCCTTTGTCCTGAGCATTATGGGCGGTTGATCTCCCTTGTTGCTTGTTGGGTTTGTCTAGTTGTATTGCTGTGTTAATCTGTTTGTATGAACTGCAAAATATGATAAAATATGAAAAAGATATTGCTGAAATCAAGTGTTTTTTTAGTACATTCAGACTCTTAAAACAGGATTTGCCAATTAGATAAGCCTTTTAGTCATAATTCAAGGACTGTTGCTTTACTTTTTTATTTCAAAGGAGAAATTTCTTGCATTTTGCTTGTCCCCGTGGAAAATCTTGTTTTTAGAGTAGTCAGAAGGTGCTCAAATCATGATGCATTTAGCCATATTTGAGCTATTTTTACTTATTTTTTTATCACTTTTTGCAGTGTGGGCTCCATTCAATGGTTTTCATGGCTTTCTGTATTTTATGCCTGCATGCCGCACAAATCAATTGCCCCTGGTGGGATGAATGCATAAAATGTTCTGAATACACAATTTATCCCTAAGAATCATCAAGAGTCAATGTAAATGATGGCATGACAAAGGCTTTGTTATCTTGGAGACATGTTCGATGACAAGGGCCTTCTTTCTTTTGAATGCTTCTTCTTGCAGTAACAAACAGCTGTGAAAACATGGAGTAACTTTGCAGTCCCATATGCAGCCACATCGTTCACTCACGTATCTAAATGGTCCAGATTAAGAGTGTCAATTCTAAAATATATTTGAAAACAGATGGAGGACTGTTATTCCAAAGCTCCGGAAGTAAGATTGATTCTGATACAGTACATAATGAAATGTCAGCCAATACCAGTGAATGACAATATCACTCACATACTAAACACGACTTCATCCGCAAAACATTTCAAGATTTGGTCATAGTGTTGATTATAGTAATGAATGGTGCTTCTTCCAATTTAACGGTTGCCCATTTTGAGAAAAGCATACATCAGTACTTAAGGAGCTCCCTCTCATTCACACCACTTGTGACATTCCAGAGCTGTAATGTCAGGACTGTAAATATGGATGTGACAAGACAGCCTTTTTATCCCAAGTTTAAACAAGTTCTATTTGCATCATTAACACCCATGCTGATATTGCCCTGGTTACCTGCAGAGAGCACGAGCGGTTGCCTGGGGCCAGACCACAGCGCACCGGTGAGGGGCTGGTCTTCCTCCATGGTTCTGGTTCTGGGAGAGACAGGGAGGACCGGGCTCGAGACGGACTATAGCCGGGCAGTGGGGCTTTGATGGGCACATGCAGGGACTGGTCTGAGTTGGTGAGCATCTTGAAGGCCGGGCGCTGGCAGCCTCACCATAGTGCTATAAATAGAAAGAAAAGACAGCCATTGATTAGCGAAGAATGGCCATGACTAGTGCAATACAGAAAATATGTGGCATGTCATTGTCTCTTGTTGCTATGGTGCTCAGTGTCAAAATACTGTCCACCCATTTGTTTTTTCACCGGTGGCTTTTACCATGAAGTGATTACAGGCAAATGCATGGTCCCATACTGTATATCAAGACTGAAGAGTGACCTGTTGCACTGGCAAAAGTAATTTGATTTTTTGATATGTATAACAAATTGAAAAATTGAAATAACTCAATCTCAGCTTTTAGCAATCTTCTGACATAAACGTTAAAATTGAGGGACACGAATCATACAATCTTTCTCCTTTTCTCACTGGTTTGGAGAAGAAGATTCAGGAACAGCTACAGTACTATTTAATTAAATACGTGTTCTGTCTGTGTAAATATATCCCATATCAATAAACAGAAGAATATGAGGGGAAAAAATTGTGATTATTATTAATATTCCTCAAACTTATGTAAATATCAAACTACATTGTACAGCATTCTGCATACTTACATATACCATACATTTTGTTCATAAAAAATGGCTGTCCTTTGCTTGACCATTACTTGACCTCAGCAGCGCACTCACTTGTAAAACTGTTTTGAAATGTTTATGTCTTTATTAATTTGACCGGTGACGATGCACATTAATGTACATTTATGTAAAAGTTCCAGATTTAGCTACAAAGCTCGTTTTCAACTGTGACACAGAGATACACATGGGCAGGCTCCGCTCATTCAATATTTACGACAAGCTTGGCTCATCTTCTAATGAGACCAATGTTGGTTTGATTTTTTTTAAGTGTGTATTCATAAAAACAGAGAGAACAGATTGTCCAAACTCAGTTCTTCTGTCAGGCACCTCACAGTCACGTCTGACCACTGTCGTCTAGAGTCCCCGACACCAGACTAAAATGTGATATTCTGCCTGGCTAAGGAGGTGCGATACCATTATTCCATCTAAGTATTTCATACCAATGACATTTGAAATATCTAAAATGTCAGACAGATTCTCAGTCACATCAGAGGCTCAGTCTGTGGGGTCTGTTTGGTTCCCAAGTTCAGAACATCTTTTGGACAGTCCAGATTTTCCTCTAACGGAGCCAGACTGTGGAACGCTCTTCCCACTGACCTAAAATTATGAACAGATTAAAACATCTTCATCAAACGCTTGAAGCTGGGCTGGGCTGAAAACGGAGCAGCATCGTTCACAGGTTTAATGAATTATACATTTAATTGTTTTTATATTTGCATTTATGTCCCAAAAGCCTCCTATGGACAAGTGTTGAAAATTAGCATTGGTCTTGCTATAACACTAAAGGCAGTAAATCTGGTCTCTCCAATGTCACTGTTGTGTCCATATCAAATAAATACATACATATTTACCTAAAATTGCCAAAATTATGTGGAATATATGTTTTTAGAATATGACGATGTTGTGAGATTGGTTTTCTTGCATGGCTTTCCAGCAGTGATATTTCTGAATCACTGGAAGTCATTAAGTCACAAACATAATCAGCCATGCATAATATGAAGTCTAGGGTCATTAAAAACTCTATCTCTCTCTCTCTCTCTTGGCTTTTCAATTTCAGATCTCTGACTCTCCCATTGACCCAGTATTCTCAAAAAAAAGTTGCACCTGGCGAATCTGGCACAGTCTCTGCCTTTATTCTGCTTTTCAAACCGTCCCTTTAATGGTGAAACGCAGTGATCTTCCACAGTGCAAGTAGAACGCATGATGCACTGGGTGATTGTCTGCAGAACACAAACACAGCATTCAAAGCGAGCTATTCATTTGGACATTTGCAACAAAAAGCTACAAATTGTCGGCTTTTTTTTTGGTCTCGCTTATTACCATCTGCTGCATATGTTGGAGGAGCCAGGACTTTTAATGATCATCCATGCAGAGATAGTAGCGGTAATAGCCCAAGTGGGTGGAAGCGTTGTTGGGAATGTATAGAAAGTGTGACAAGTCAAATTAATGGGGAAGACTTCTGTACTTTATGTCGGATTATGGCACCTTGTAATTCCCAACAGTTAATGTTCTGGCGTAGCAATAAAGAGGACAGTTATGGGGAAAATCCTGGTTCTACAATCTGTGTGTGAGAAAAAAATAAAAAAAGCTTAGTGGTGGGAAAGAGAGTCGTCCAATCGGCTGCTATAAATCTGCACAATAAATGGCTGTCGGTCCAAACTCAGGGCGACAGAGGCTCAGTTGGTAGAGCATTGATCTTTGAGCCTGAAGGTCATGGGTTCTGATCCCCCCCACGAGACCTACTCCAACTGATCCCACTTATGTCTGCTGTCGTTGTGTCCTTGGGCAAGACACTTAACCCCACGTTGCCCGAAGCCCCCGCTGACGGAGCAGCAGCCATTTTTCTTTGGACCCACCACCTGCCGGAGGATCAGTGAGCGACTGGTGCTATGAGCATTGGGTGGCAGCTCTGATTAACAACCCCCCCGGCCCAGAAATGGATTAATAAAGGGGTGGAATGTGAATGAATCGTTCCAAACTCCTCTATGGGGCGATTTTGAGTTTAGGGAATTGAGTGACTTTTGCAGGTTATCCACGAGGTTCTGCAGTTTGCACTAATTGTTCTGAGAAATGCACCAACAGTTGTGCAAATGTGAAGAATGATGTGAAAAATGCACCAAAGCGACCGAGAAAAACTGAACTATATTGTTAACTGTATTGAGTAAATGTAATAACCTCAACATGTCAGTTATGTGAAAATGGGTGCTTAACTTCATCAATTAAATTCAACACTTTCTCAGCGTGTGTTTTTGGTCTCTCACGCATCTCTAGATCTACTTATTCAGACAAAAAATTGAAAAAAGAAAGGACCACCCTCATTCATCCAATCCGCTCTGACTCACAGGGCTCTTTCTTACAATTATATGAATTGTTACATGTTTTCTAATTAAATGACGGAATGGTTCTATTGTAGGATTGTTCTGATTTTCCACCTCCAGAAAGTTTTGTACTCTTCCTTTGAGAGGAAACAGCACACCGTGTCTCCTCCCTCTGTGAAAGAACAACTGAATGTTTTTATTTTTACTCTTTTTAATGCACTGTGGCTATTCATGATCTGAATCCAATGTGTGATTTAAATGTTAAGGTTTTTATTTACTCGTGTATTATTTTTAAGTTTTTAATAGTCCTTGTGATCTTATTGTGTGTGTGTTTTAATGCCCTATGGGATTTCAATTGTTGTTGTTTTTTTACATGTATGCAGATTTTAATGTTTGATGTGTGATGTGATATGGGTTGTGAGGCGCTTTGTCTTGCCTTGTGTAGGAAAGATTGATTGATTGAAAGAGGTCAATTTGAAGATGTTGTGTAGTATGTATGCAAAAAAAAACTAAAAATAAATACACCAGAAAATACGCTTTTTGTCAATCAACTGCTGGGAATCCTAAAACAAACCCACTCACTTCATGGTCTCTCTCTACTGTAAACTCAGTGTATTTTTGGTTCCACTTTCCCACAAAGAAAGGCAGTGGCAGCAACATATTGTAATCTATGGAAGAAGAAGGCACAAAAACAACATTTCCATATCTTTTGAGACGATGTACAAAATGCCCCCCCTTTTCACACAACGCACAAAGAAAACAGGTCTTTTGCAGTTGGAAAAGGGCTAAATACTGTAATTGTTGGTGCTGAAGCTGGAGGAAAGATGACTGAATGAGGCTCAGAAAGAGCAGAGAATGTGAGTCACTGGGCTGTCGGAACGGTATAGAGCTTTAGACGTCACCAGACTTTAGACCGCTGCTCAGGCTGCCAGGTCAAACCACATTCTCACAAGTCAGTCTCTTGTAACTCCTGGAAATGGATCCATATCTCAGATTCACAGAGGTTACAAAGCGGCCAGGTGCTGTATACATGTACAGATGTATACACGCAACTCTATGTTGCTTGCACTAGAATATACAGCATTTTATACTTGCTTCATATTAGATAGATAGATAGATACTTTATTGATTGATGAGAAATTCAGGTGTCCAGCAGCAGAAGACTCATCCAGGTTTGTTGTACAATCTGTCCTAAATTCTTGCTTCTTCATCATGCTAAAGTTGGAGCTTTAAACATTTTTTTTCCTCATTATGATAAAGATAGACATTTTATACTGCTTCTTTTATGCTATATTGACATTTTATTTTATTTTATTTTAGTTTAGAGTTATTATTCATTTATCTGGTGTTGTGTGCGTCCCATTCTGTTCTTTAACTTGTGATGCAACACTGAAATTTCCCCACGGTGGCACGAATAAAGGATCTCTTCGTCTTAATCTGTATTTCAAAATCCAAATAAGTCTTTTCAAAACATACATTGAGTTGTTTGAAGTCCGAGATTATTCCCTTCTCTCTAAATGTTTACTAGGGTGATTAATCACCATAGAAACCAAATCGCATTTTCAGAGCCTGCAATTAGCAAATCGCAAAGACAGCAATTATTTAGATTAAATTACTCCCTTTACAAATTATCTTGTCATTGTATATTATGTGAATGTATCAATCAATCCCTGAGTTTAGAGCTCTGAAAAATGATTAGAAATACAAGGATCACGTCAAAAAACAAACTAAAAAGAGCCTAGATGAAGTAAATAATGGGAATGGGAAGTGCAGTCTTATCCAACTTAGTTTAAGTTAGGACTTTAGGTTTCAGTTTTCCCTTAAATTGTAATTCTCCTTGAGCATTTGGAACAATATTCTCACCTCAATAGTCTGAGAAAATTCAAACAGATTGTTCTGCAACCCAAACATACAATCATTTTACATCACAGGGGTTCGAAGCGACTAGAGTTGGCAAAATATTTTACGATTGTCTTATGTTACAACCCAATAATAATCCAATTCTATGTGCGGAAAGTAGATACGCAGTGGCACGGTGGCTGAGTGGATAGCACTCTCGCCTCTCAACAAGAAGGTCTT